ACGTCCACCTGTCAACTCTCGACTTGGATGGTGACGTATTTGCAAACAATATGCCAGTAGAGCTTTACCAATGCCTGCAAGAAGTGTGTGCTCTCTGTTTACATTGAACAGAGACACAGTCCGCCGCTGGCTTGAAGAAGGCACCTGAACACGTTGTGCCGGGCAATTGCAAGGCCCAATTAGTTGGCACCGAGGGCAAGTCAACCTGATTGTCTAGTCGGCGAAAAGTATTGCAGAAAGCGCTTCGTGTTGGGTGTAACGTCGCTTCTACTCCAAGATTGTGCTGTAGTGCGACTGATAGTGGACCTCAATAGGGGCCTCCCATGGCGCGCATATTTGACTTCCACCTCCATTGTATGCATTTTTGCTCAATCTTCGTGTTTATTTAAGACGCGCACTTATTGCTCTCCATTCAGCCACACAATCCCAGCGGCAGAACTATTGCCAAACAAACAGCAGGAAGTTGAACACACGCACCTCCATCTTGTGTATTTACCTTCATCTTGGCATCAATACGAGTCTTGCAGGTTGTAATAGCCAAACTAAACCACTCTGCTACCATAGGGAAGCTGTGCAACACTGCGGCCCAAGGGTGCAAAACGCTGGACGATGACGAGGTGCGAAACCTGAGGTCTGAGCATCCAATGATGAACAGAAGGTGCAATTGCCGTGCTCCTAATGACAACAACAGCACTACTTTTCGCAGTGACGAAAGGTCAGTAGGATTTTGTACGTCACTCTCATTTCCACTCTACTGCTTGCACGACCACCACAAATGGAGAAAGCTGCGACCGTGAATCACGCCCACCACAACGACGCGCACTGGACGACACCACAGTTCACTCCCTACTTCTCCATACTTTGTCACCCAATACTCTGTTCACGAGCCCAATATGCTTGCAGGGCGAAGGTGGGAATGGGGGTGGCGGTGGGGCATCACAACCCAGGCGTCCTTACTGGTCAGGGTCTGGCTTTCGCTGCTCGCAACGCCGTCATTTAAAATGCTGAAACCAATGCCAACGTGGAAGAAGCCCACCATTATGCTTGGAAGGTAATTTAATTGATTCGGTTCGAGGCCAATTGGTGGTGGCCCCGTTTCCAGAACGGTGCTGCATCCGCCTCATCAGCGCCTCCAGATTCACACGTAATGGAGTACGCATGTACATGCGCACATTGAAGCACTGTACTTCTCCCACAACTCAATTTGCGCCTCATGCTTATTACTTTTCTGCTCTCTCGCTCGCTCGCTCGCTTGCTTGCTTGCTCACTCACTACCTCTCAGCCTTGCTCGCTTTCCCCGCTGAATGTCTCGCACGATGAGCTGCTCTAACAGGCAAAAAGGTGACTCCTAAGTC